ATATGGGATATTCCAAATGTATATGAAAGCAAACTAAAAATATTTTTTGTCGTTAGAAGATACATTTTTTTTTTTTTTTTTTTTTTTTACACAGATGACTGCTTATTTAATTTTTTCAAAGAAAATAAGTTGCATTTTTAAACAATCATCATCACATTCACATTATGAACTTAAATTGAACAATTTTTAAAATAAACTAAATAGGACTTCTTGTTAAAGAGATATATTCATTGGTTTTTATTCAAAATGTTCTTTTTATTAAAAATAATTAATGTTTCGTCGTGGTAGGAATAGTTAGCAAACCGGTTTCGTAAACTATTGAATAACGAGTTTGAAGTCTTTGGGCAACCCATAATTCTGGCCATGAGCTAAAAAAAAAATCTATGCTACGTTTTTTTAGTCATTTGACGCCAAATGAACTACACTACAACCGTAAGCTTTAGTTTAATTTTACTAATACAGTGTACACACTGAAGATGGGTATTTTTGAGGAAATTTTCTGATCCCTTTCCCGGAGTTTATTAATAGCACCCGGTTTATTAATTTCACACTTTTCCCTAGAAACAGTAATTATTACCAGGGCCGGAGCGTACTACCCCACAAATCTGATTGAGGCCCCGTGTAGTGCTTTGTGACCCTCGCAAGTCGCAATCTTATCAACATTTTCTTTTTTCTGTACCTACTTGTATTTTACATTACAAATTAGACTAAGCATAACTTCGGATGAAAATTTTCGCGGATTTTGACGTCATTCTAGGGTCTTTTTTTTTTTTTTTTTTTTTTTTTTTGTCCAAATTCGTGAATTTGTTTTGTTTCGAAAAAAAAACATTATATAAAATTCACTTTTCTGTATCCATAATGTTTGTTTTGTTTTTGTTTTTTTTAAAAAAAAAAACTAACAAGAAAAATCTCAAGTTGATGCTAAAAATTGCCGTAACATTGTTGATTTATTTAAGATGGAATGAGCTTCTTTATGACATAATTTGTATTTAATATTTATTTTCACTTATTCTAGTTGAATTGTTCACCTGCATTTCCATTATTGTACACATGTACAATTAAGTTAGATTACAATTTCTTTAATGAATACTACAAACAACCTTATGAAAACTGAGATGTAGATATAGTGAGGGTCCCCGTATCATAAATTGGGCGTGGGGGTCACGAGGTCCTTACACCGACCCTGACTGAAGATTCAGGTTTTTTTTCTTGTACGTTTATGATGGGAATTGCATTAAAAAATAATTTTCAATTGTTCTTTGTTATTCTTTAACTAACACAATCACCATGTTCCATTCCTTGATAAATTTTATTTTTTCTTATTCTTTTTACAATACAAATTAATTTTTGATCCGTTAAATGATTTTTCCGACCCTCCTTTTTTTTTTTTTTTTTTTTTTTTGCATATTGACAAATTCCGACTGTCACCGATTATAAAGATCCCATTATTCTTGTATTAAGCGCGTAAAGCCGGATTTTAAAGACATTCTCAATGACCGAGTGAGAGAAAAAAAGGCAACAATAACAATAGTTGCAAACGAATGCTGTAAGCAAGGAAATCAAACATACAGATAGATACTAGATTTTCTCCCGTCTTTAAGTCTTATCACCCTCATTTTCTTTCTCTCTTTCTCTCTGTAGTACAAGTTACTTCCTTGTACACTTTCCATTCACATAGAATGTTAAAGGAAAGCCTACACCACTCAAGAACGGACTATTGAAAAGTCTACTACACTTACGAAGGCAACCTTCTTTATACAAACTACTTGTACTGCTCGGACTGAAATTATAAGAACTGTATGTTAGAAGATACACGAAAAAGCAAGGAATTTGTGGTCAAATCCCGCTATGGCCAGGAGTTCGAGTAGATTAGAAGAAGCTGTGGTCAAACCTTTACATATTCTTCACAAAAGGCTTCAACTTATACAAACCGGGGATGGCTCATCAGACAGCGATGACTCGATCTGGGGTGATTTAGAGGTATGTCGTCTCTACCCCAAGTTTATTTTATTTTATTTTATTTTTAAATAATAATTTAAAACTTTTGACGTGAAGTCGTTGGAAAATTAATTAAATAACTCTCCAAAAAAATATCGATCAAAAAATAATAAGATGAAGTTAAAAAAAGAAAAAGTATTTAACTATTTATTAATTAACTTAACTCTGTTGGTGATAGTCGGTTGAAAAAGTTGACATTATCATTTACAAATTTTACATTAACTTATTAATTAAGCAACCTTAGGTTAATAAAGAAAACTACTTATTTATTTTCGATTTAAATGCTATAATTTAAATTAAATATCAAACAAATATTTACTGTCACCTCAAACAAGGTATAAAGAACTTTGTTTTGTGCCTATTCTGACATGTGAGGCATGAAAGAAATCTCTCCTTTTAAATAAAAGGAAGATTACTATGATGCTGCACTTGACTGCATAAAAAATCATGTCATTTCCCTTGTTCAACAAATGCTAATGAAGAATGATAATGAATAAAGGCGGAATTTCAATATAACAATGTTTAGTTTTCTTTTAAGGAACTTCTAATTTCTCATAACGAACAATTAAATACTCAACCATAGTTACTTTACTAAGTATTTTTATTTATTTTTAAATATATTTTTCGTTTTTTCCCTTTTATCAATTTTGTTTACTGTTGTTGCAATTCGTTTATCTCCCGCGTTTTTTCTTCTTTCGTTCATCTCTCTTTTACTTTCTCTTGGATTTTAAAAATATTTACTTTAGATATCGCTTTTCGTCTGCTATTTTTTTTCTTATCGTACAAGAGCTTTTCAAATCCCTCGTTTATTTTCTCTTGTGATCTTTGATATTCCCTAAGCTTGATGTTTGTCACTTGTGTGACACAAGGCTAACATTCATTTGTTGAGCAATGCACATTAAATAGCTTCTCGTCGATGTGTGTGTGTGTGGATGAAAAAGAAAGATTTTAAGTGCAAGAATTTTTTTATTTTTTGACCCTGAAAAAAAAAAGTGTTTATTCGCCCGCTCGTAACAAAAATAAATTTTAGGCCGGAAGATAAATGCAAGCAAGGTGGAAAGGAAAGACTAATTATTCAAATTTATGAGCACATGAAGCAAGCGCGTTATTTGTTTTTTAGCCTTTTAAAATATCGACAAAAAGAATATTATTAAGTTTAGCGTTTCAAACGATTTCTCTGATTTACCTTCTTTACAACCCACGTAAATGATTTACGGTAAATCTTTTTTTAACTCGTTTCATATTATGAGCTTTGCTTTCCTGAAAAGTCGCGCATCCGAAATGTAACTAAAAATAGCGTTTGAAATACAATAATTTATAGTTAAATAATTTATTTTGTATTTCTACTTTACTAATAGCTTGTTATTGATGGCAAAGTTGAATTTGAAATATTACTACATTTTGGATGGTATCGTTTTATTTTGAATACATACACTTTCACAAATCAAAGAGTTTGTTTTTTTTTTCAAATTCTTTTATTTATAGTCACGAATGATGAATTATTTAAATTTCACTTTTAAAGGAAAAAAAAAAAAATTGAATATCAAACGCTATTTTTTTCGTTTTTTTATTTTTTTTTTAATTTTTTTATTTTTTTATTTTTTTTTTTTATTTATTTTGGATGCATGACTTTTCAAATCCAAAGGATCTGGGCTCAGAATATCAGGCTAGGTTGTCAGTTAAAAAATGCCAAAGAATTCGCTAAAATTAACAATACCCGAAAACATACATACATGACAAAGTATTTATTTATTTTCAATCTATTCTTGGTCAGGCTAAGAACTTTTCACCACTCCCGTATTTGAAGTTTAAAGTAATTTTAGAGTACTTTTTCTTAAAAGGAAACCTGGAAGAAGAACTTTCGAGTTTTTGATAGTAATCGTCTTCATTATAATATTTAATTTCTTTAATTTATCGAAAGTAAAATACATGTCACATGTGGATGTGCGGTGTTGTAATGAATAGCAGTTCGAAATTAGAAATACGAGAGCCGAGTTCGAATTCCAGTAGTGATCGTTACATTTCTTCTTCCCCCAGCCATGGGTAAAATATAGCTGGAGAGACTGGGCCCTTAGCCTTCGTTGGCACCAGTCTAGAAGAAAAAAATTAACTTTCAAACCATCCAAGAGTGGGCTGGGCTCCGTCAGATTCACTTTATTGTCAAGCTGCAGTATGGTACCCCTACAACCCTAATGGGTTCGTTATGTGAAAAAAAATCTAATAATAAAAATTTTAAAAAATATTTAGTAAGTAGTTCACTTTATTGGGTTTGTTTTCTATTTTTAAATGTCATTAAAATTTAAATAACATTTGTTTAATTTCCAATTATTATTTCACCACGACACCAGTCTTTACTTTTACATTTATTTATTGATAAGATTCTATTCGTTTTAATTGTGTGACGGCACCCTTTTTTTTTTTTTTAATTTATTATTTTTCAAATTGTTTGTCTGTAAATTTATTAAAAAAAAAAATATATATTTTTAGGAGTCATAAAAATGACTTCGAAGAAACGCACACTCCAGCTTAGTAATTTACAAAAAAATGTAGCTTAGATGTGGCTCAAGGCCGAAAATATGAAGGACCCAGTAAGGATCGAACATTTTAGCTTATATACTATTTTCCTGTTAGCCAGTGGTTGTTGCCAAACAGTGAAATTAACACTCACGACAGAGATGTCCATTTCAATTTCATTCAAATGGTGTTCATATGTACGTTTGCGTACACATGTCATCTATCTAAAAATGATTGGTTTTCTATGGCTTATCAATTCTTTCCAGAAAAATTTACTGTAAGAATTTTTTTGAGATAATAAATGGTTTAGTGATACAAGCCTTACTAATTAACCCATAGCAGGCTGGAGAAGAGGCGGATTCATGCAATTCCCAAGGTTGTATTTGCACGTAAGTGAATATAACGAACCCAACGCAAATTGGAACTTGGCTCACCAATTTAACAATTCCAAGCCATTATCCATTACATCACCTGCACATCCAAGAGTACCTGGTATTCTCAATCAAGGTACTGACCAGGCCCGACGTTGCTTAACTTCAGTGATCGTACGGGAACCGGTGTTTCACGTATTCAATAACAGACCTAAGGATATTTCTAAAACAAACAAAAAAAAAAAACAATGTATATTTTTACAGAATTATTTCCGAAAATTTCAATAAATCCTAATTAACTGATTTTTAGTATGTAAAAAAAATGAAGTTTTTTTGTCTCCAACTTTGATTTTATTATTGTCCAGCCCAGGATAGGTGTTGCCCAAACTGGATGTGAGAGGAATGTATTCCAAGGTCTTATTTCAGACTTAGTGAAAAATTGTATGTACATGTGTACTTTTGCACACCCCAAGCACATAAGTCACTCACGTACGTAACAGACATACGCATACTGAATATTACAAACTTGCATACACAAAAAAAAACAAAACATACGCAATCTACAGTGTGTGGCTGACGGACAGAATATCAGTTCTCCTTTTTTAGATTGTCTTGCTTTCGTTGATCTGGTCTATTCTTTGTTTGGCACTGTCACTTGTTAACGAATCCGCCTCTGGCTCACTCATCCATAACCCCAATCGGGGTACATTCAAAGATGCTCTGTTTCAGGGTACCCATCCCTGCAAGCAGTACTTCTTTCAAAGGCTAGGACTAAAAAGTTAATCTCTGCTACCTAAGGCGTCCCAATAGGAACACGTGAGGAAGTTACCCCCCCCCTTACATAATAATTATTACCATAATATACCTATGTAGGCTAGGAACTCCTACTTAAACCTGACCTAGTTCTGTATTTCATTCAATTCGGTGTGCATTGAAATGTCTACGAGTTGTGAAATGTGAAAAATACTTTTTGTTTTGTTTTGTTATCACATTTTTATTCTTCAGCTTCGGTGACCAGATTCCATTTTTATTTGGTTTCTTTTTTCGTTTCTTTTTAATTGTTTATTTTATTCGTCTTTATTATCAGTGTCGACATCTTTTTTTTTTTTTTTTTTTATTTATTTATTTTTTTCAGTTTTGCAAATAAAACAGTTTATTTACGCTGTAAATGAGAAATCCACTCCACGTTATAAGTCAAGAAATATCACCTTAGGCATGACATTTTTTAAAAACCCGCATTTGAATAATTTTTCAAAAATTATTAAAATTTAATGTAATCTTTTGAAAAATTATGTTAAAATCTTTTGAAAAATTTAATTAGAATGTGGGCTTTTTTAAATACAAAATATTTTTTTCTTTTAATATCACGTTATTTGTAATGTTAAAAAATGATTTTCTATTACAGTGTAACCCGGATATAAGGGAAATCCGGATATAAGAGAGATTTTCTCTGGTTCCAAAGTGTTCCCATACTTACCTGAACAAAACAGACAAAACCCGGATATAAGAGAAACCCGGATATAAGAGACTTCTTCTCCGGTCCCGACAACTCTCTTATATCCGGGTTACATTGTACTTTCATTTGAAAAAGCTTTGTGATTTTTGTTTATAGCCTTAAATTCTGCTGAACCAATTATTTTTCAGAAAATTTTCTTAATTGACATTATTACACGAGCATTTTTAAAAATTTTATTTATTGTTAATGTTTGAAATGAAACTAGAATTTCTGTTACACATCACGAGTAGGGGAAAAATAAAACCATCCTCGGTATGACTAATAATTTAAACTACATCTGGCAGCAAGGCATCTGATCGAGAGATCGGAAGTTTTGAGCAGCATGGAACCACCTCTTAATAATTAATTGCTGTTGTTCCCAGGTAAATCCTGACCCGGGGTGGTAGCACTTGTTAGGATCCCAGCTATGGGCAAATAGTTTTAAATCCAAAACAGGAGTCAAAAAACTATGAAAGTATAAAGTTTCGTAGTAAAAAAAAAAAAATTACCAGCAATGCATTTTTATTTTTGTAAAAGAAATTACTACCTAATGCTACCAAGAAAATTAAATTTCAGCATTAAATGACCCATAAGGAGTTGATCTGCTGCTAAAAAAATAACCCCCCCGCCAAATAAACTTTCAACTGCTATTATTATTATTATTATTTACAGAATTGGGAAGTGAGAATAAAAAAATAATTTAGGGTGGACTGAATTAGATTCAAACCCCTTTTACCGTTTTTCGATTTTTCTTATAATTACCCATCAATGTTATCGTTACTCCGCCATTCCACTGTTTAATTTCTGCATTTTGGAAAATTCAAACATTCGGACAATATAGGGAAACAAATATTTAGGGGTTTTTTTGTGATTTATACACCGAATTTTTCATTTTTTAAAAATTTTGTATTGTGGTTCTACAGAAGGATGCTGAGGATACTATGGACTAAACATGTAAGCAACGATAAGATTTTATAGAAAATGGGAACAAAAAGAAAACTTATGAACATCAGGAAGAAGAGATAGTTGAAATTTCTAGGGGTACATAATGAAGAAGAGGGGGCTTTAAAAATCTGTTACTCATAGAAGGATTAGCATACTTGACATGCTTGAGAAAATGGATGGCGGAACAGGGTTTAGAAATAAAGAAAAGACAGAATTTATTTAAAACTGTAATGGACAGGAAATTGTGGAGAGCCATGATCGCCTACGTCCTGAGGGGACATGGCACATACAGAAGATTGTCTAATTAAGTTCAAGTACCTGGTGTGCAAATTCAAATCTTGAAGGAATTGTCATTAGTCAGGAAATAATGCAAGCATTTGATAAAGCAGGATTATATTTTCATAAATGTATTTTATTGACTTTTGTTTTTTTACGGTTTATGTACCTCTTGTGGATTGACTAAAATATCTTGAAATATAAGAATAATTATTTTGCTGTTTTTTTTTGTTTTTTTTTTTTTGAGGGACAATAAATGCATAAACAATTTCTGAAGATAAGAATGATTTTCCAGATACATATCCTACTATTTAACCCATAGCTGGGGGAAGATGAGACAGTTTCATACCTTTCCCACGGGTATGTGCGCGTATGTGAATGTAATGAATCCGACTGGAATTTGAACTCGGCTCTCCAATTTCTCATCCCGAGCCACTATCCACCTGCACATCCTGAAAACTACTGATAAGGAAGAAAGGGATTGTTAGTGGTTAGGAATTAGATATAAACACTACTGACATGTTTGTTGTATGTGTGTTGTAAAAATCTATTGCTAGGGAGGGATCATAATTGGGGGTCAGTTTTCCTGAATGTGCAATAAACTAAACAGGAGCTAGGTCGGAAAATCGTTTAATGACAGAAACAGTATAAAATTAATAAGATGGATCTTCCTCAGTGTAAATACAGTAAAAATGTGGAAGAAAGGTATTGTTAGTGGTCAGGAATTAAAGTAACTTAACAGAATAGGCTAGTTGTAAGCAATAGTGTTTTATTGACAGGGCTATTTATTTTTTTATTTAACTTTTTTCTTTTTTCTTTTTTTTTTTTTTTTTAAATTGGTACTCACCATAACAAATTTGTTCAGTGTGAACATGTGATAAGCAGCAAGTCCGTCTCACTCTGTCCATACGTTGACCTTTTAATTCTACTGTCAAAAATACCTAATTTCATCCTTGAAAAGTTAAAAAAAAATGTATTAAAATGAAGTTGTTTAATAGGAAGATTGATGGGTTTTTTCCCTCTTTGTATCAGTCGTCAGTTGATGACTAAATGTCTCGGACATCGTTTGCCACGCTTTTTCTTAAACATCACTTGACGATATAAAAAGATTCCTCGTGATTAAGAAAAAAATAATATGTGATCAAATTATGCGAAATAACATGAATGAATAATAAATGTATTGAATTTGAATTTGCATCGAGTGTAAAAAAAAAAAAAAAACAACAACAAAAAGCGTACTTTCATGATGCGTGTAAATGACGTCAAACAAAATAAAAACCATCATTTTAAAATTTAAAAACAATTCCATATTATCAGAATAATTATAAACGTAACAGATCCTCAAATATTTCATGAGATAAATATTTAATTCACTTTTCTGAAAGTAGATATTACTCTTCAGAAAACCAAATGACATACATTATTTTTTGCAAATGAATAAAAACAGTAAAACTCATTTTGGAAGTTTTTGCAAGGAAATTTAATTTACCTATCCCAAAGTGACATAAGCTTATGGTAAAGTCAGTTTATTAGCTTAGGTCCCAGGGGAAACACCCGCATCCATGTAGTACCTCTCCTTCAGGAGGGGGCTGAGGTCATTATCTGACGCCTAAGGTGTCCCCAAACGGAGAAGTGCCGAGGGGATTGAACAATTTTTCTATGGTTTTGCTGAAAGCCCTCATTAAAAACTACTTTGTGTCTCATTCTGTTTGCAACGTGGACGCACAGATAAACTACAGATCTAGGACAAGAACATGCACACCAAACTAGCCCTTCAATTTTAGTACAATTAAGATTTTGCCACAGGGTTTGGAATCTCCAGGACCAAGCTTCTTTTTATAGTTTCGAGAGGAGAACAGATACTACAGTTTGATACCTTCAGTCCAAAGGCAGAGACGAAGATCATCATTTTTTTTTTTTTTTTTTGAGTAAATTTTAAAAGTAAAATTATCTATATCCTTTTTCTTCTTTCTAATTATTACAGTGTAACCCGGATATAAGAGAAATTTTCTCTGGTCTCAAATTAGAGCCTGTGTTAATATATATAAAATAGACCAAACCCGGATATAAGAGAAACCCGGATATAAGAGACTTCTTCTCCGGTCCCGACAATTCTCTTATATCCGGGTTACACTGTATTTTAAAAAATATATAATTAAAAAAAATCTAAACATTTTTTTTGAATAAACAGCCTAAAAAAAAATTATTTTAAAATCACATTGAAAAAAAAAAAGATTATAAATAGGCTCCCCTTATTTTCTGGCTTTTGGTGGGGGGGGACAAAAATCCAATAATTTACTGAAACTTGGTATCCCAAATCTTGCTTTTTAACTTAAGCAGTACGTCCCTACTATACTAAAAGAGTTAAGTGTTGCAGAACAAAAAAAATTATAATTTTTACAACTCCTAGTGTTATTTCTCCAGCAACCAATATTTGGCAGACTCATGCGATAGGTAAAAAACAAAAAAACAGGGGAGTCA